GACACATGCTGTGGTCATGTTTTGCAGACTATTGACAAGTGCTCAGTGATCTGGGTGATCAGCGACATAGAGCGAGTTTCTGGGGGACGAGCCCACGAAGACCTTCTGAATGAGAGCATCAAAGCCTGCCAGCGGGGCTTCTGTAGGGACGTGGCCCTTGTAGTCACCAAGGCGGACAAACTCCACTTGCCAGAATACCTACGGTATTGTTCTGGGTTCACGGGGATGTGGGCTTCAGTCAGGGGCTTTCCTCTGTGGGTCCCGACTACAGTAGCGTGGAGCTTGATTGTGTAACGTGGTTACGGGGCTTCAGGAAGTGACTGTTGGGGAGGAAACAAAAGACTGGGTGACTTCCTGGGACATCAGGACCCTTGGTTGGGTTGTCTCGGGAATCTGAACTTTCCAGGGTAGCTGCTTAGTGCCAAGCTGGTATCCCTGTCTCTTATACACATCTAGATGTGTATAAGAGACAGGCATAAGGCATGGCTCTTTCTTCACAGAACTTGAAATATGGATGAGGAGCTAATACTAACCCAAGTGCAGAAGTTGAAGTAAAACTGAGGCTTCGTTAGTTGCTGCTGACGGCTGAGTGCAACAGCAGCCCAGGGAATCTAGAGCTCTGTGTGCATTAGACACTCAGTGGAAAGTGGGTGGGCAGGCAGGGTCAGGACTGCATTGTCATCTGAACTTGACAAGGCTTGCAACGTGCATGCATTTTAGTAGACGTGTAGGTATGTGCATGGAGGTTAAGGAGCAGAAGGTATGAAATGTTCCCAGAGATGGGGGAACTGCTTGATTAAGGGTATAAAAGACAAAATTAGCATGGTATATGGAAGGAATAATATAGAGAAATTGCTACATATGGGAATAATGGGGAAAAGGACAGGAATCCTGTCATGTCTAGAATCCTGCATGTCAGAGGTTCTTCTTCCTTTCTACAGCAAGCATGGGCTATTCTGGTGTTAAGGGTTAGTTGACATAGAAAAGTCTAGGGGGACTGAAGGGCTGAGACTCTAGACTTGTGAGCACTTTGCTTTACCTCTGTAAGTGATAGCTGTCCAAAGGAAAGACCCCATGTTTTCAACCAGCCTATTCTTTTCCATGTGGTTTTTTTTATATGGCTAAGTAAAATGAATATGCAGTATTGCTGATCTACGATTCATCACTGTGATTGATCCTAGACACGGGAAAAGTGCTTTTCAGAAAGGTTGATTCTGTAGGCATCCAGCCCACTCGGGATCTCAACTCTAGTTCATTCAGACCGCCATCTTGGTCTTTCAACTTTTATGAATTCTATTGACCACAAACTTGTGGCCTTTTACAATTATTTGTACTGTCTGTGAATTCCAGAAATCCCTAAGTTAAGAGAATACGTCAGGAAGAGGCTCTTGGACAAGAAGAGGAGGACGGTGACCAAGTATGTGACTGAAGCCTTTGGCCTGTTGCTCCTCACAGATAGTTTCAGCTCCACACAAAACCTGCCGGTATGGAAGACATTGGGTTTTCATATTCTCCCTGTACCTGGGCAGGACATTTCCTTTTACCAAGTTAGAAAATTAACTTATGATATTTTTTCTTTTCATATTAAAGGAAGATATGAAGTTCAGAGAGTCTAAAAGGATAAAAAGATAATTAGAAGGTTAAAATCGTAACGTTTGGGTAAAAGATAAAGGAATAATATTTTACCTGGGACAGATGGGCTGAGAGAAAAATGTCAAAATAGTAGCTATTTTCCATCTCTCCTGAGACTCGAACAAGGTGGAGCATGCATGTTTAAGCGATGGCAGGCGTGATTTGGCTTGCTTCTAGTGGAATACAGACTCTTCTTGGTTATCCTGGAGAGGCGTGCTTATGTACACAGTCCAAAAATATTTCATCTGTTTCTGGTGCTGTCAGAATCTCAAGCTCAGAGGAGCGTAGGAAAATAATGTGAGAGGATGGAAGCTCGGAGGGAATTTCAGTAGAGTTTTGATAGTTATCTTCACTGGCAAGAATGCAGGCCTTCTGAAAAACTAGTTAAAATTACTTTTCTCATAGTAATTGACATATTTATCTCTTCATGGATGATTTCTTTTTAACCCTAAAATAAGAGGGACAAGCTACTAGATTAGAGACTTGGGGGGTTTTGGAGAAAAACCTCTTACCGTCATCAGTCACCAGCTGTGTTGTCTCCTTATGAGAGATGGAATATACAAAGACAGTGGCTGGACCATGTGTAAAAGTAGATCTCTGACCCACAACCTGCAGCAATCTGCCCAGAAACCAACCTCTTATCTACAATAAACAGCCCAGGAAGCCTTCTGTCTGTAAGTCAGACTTGCAGGAAGTCAAACTGCTATCTCTAATAACAATCCAGGAGGTTGAAGAATAACTCTGTTAACAATCAGCACTAGATGGCCAGGACTTGATGAATAACTTCCCTAATCTCTTTCCCTGCTTCCAACTTACTACCAACCGGAAAAGTCAAATGTCTATAGCTAACCAACCACATTGGCTGCTCTGCTTTTAGCTAGCCCGTCTCTAGTGTCCCCAGGCCAACAACCTCCAATCAGGGCACCCCTGAAGCCTTTCCTTTTGCCCACCATGAAGCTTTTCCACTCCCCTGCCTGCTTTTGAGTCTCTGCTAAACTCAAATAATGGTGGCCGACTCCATTGCTGTAGCGAGCTCTGAATAAACAGCCTCTGCCTGTTCTTATTTGGTTGGTCCTCACTTACTTCCATGCTTGCCTTCACCCGTCAGATGTGCACAGTCAAGGTGTTTGTCTTCTTGTTATGCCGGAACAGGGAAGAGGCAGAGGAAGTACATGAATAGGGCTCTGTGAGGGGTCGAGGAGCTGATCCTGAGGATGGGGAAGGTGGGCCAGTGGTGACCCTGTGGGGTGGCAAGGGGAGGCAGACACTTGAGACTTGACTTCCACGTGGGAGTAAGCAGTGCCACCTGGAGCCTTTGGTTGTGTATAAAGGCTTGTAAAAAGGCTTTAGTGGTGTGGGATCTTTCTTCTGCATAAAAGGGGCATATAGAGCAAAATTCAATCTTTTTTAAATCATATTTCTTATGGCTTGTTTTGGTCTAGTTATACAAGACAGAAACAAAACCAAACTCTTGGAATGTGATATTTTCTCATTTGACTTTTGTCTGCTGAAATCGTTGGGGAAGGATTTGACCTTCCAATTTCCCAAAGCAGTTCTTCAGGGTGAAATTTGTCTCTCGGCCCAGCACAAGATTGCTTTTGGAAGTGCTGATGGAAAATGAATCCGAGGTGGGCTGTGTGTGGTTGGTGTATTTTACAAACACAAGGACAAGGCATTTTGCCATCAAGGCCGGAAGTGCCCACGCCACGTGCTTTTCTTTGCTAATATGGAAGTGCAGTGCTCAGAGGGGCTCAGATTCACCCTTGCAGCCAGACTCCAAGCAGCGGAAAACACAGAGGAGAAAGGGGCTGACTGGCAATTCTGCAATGGCTATATTAGGGAGTTGCTGGCAACTTTGCTCAAAATTCCTTGGCCTTAGATATTGGTCTTACTCTTAGCTCTTTGATAGAAAGTTGGAAGGCAAGAATTTGTCAGTTCCTTTGAATTTTGAAAAATCAAATCTAAATATGTGTATGATTGATTTTTTTTTTCAAAGATGATCACTGAAACCAAAAATTTAGAGTTTGAGTAGTGATTTTAAATAAGCAATCATTATTTTTAAGAATTCATAGGAAGTTGATGATCACATCTCAATGTCAAATGAAGTCTGCGTTTATTCACACTAAGGGCCAGCTTCTCTATTTCTTATTGTTCTTTTGTTCTCCACCCTTCCCTTTCTTATCATTCTTTTGTTTATTCAAGAGAGATTTATTGACAGTGAGGTATTGTGAGAATCATGCCCATAGTTTTTGTTTTCATGACTTCTTTCTTCTTTCATTTTCATCACTGGTGACAACACAAATTCAAAAGAATCTAAAGGATGTCCTGGGAAAAATGCTTTGTAGAATTCTTAATGGTGAAAATGAGGAAAATTCCTGGGGTGCACCGAATTCTAAACAGTCTCCATAAACTCTAAACGTATTTACTCCAAGATTCACCAAGTTTTAGAGTGTGAGGTTGTTTTCAAGATCATTCAACCCAAAAGATGATACCGTTGAGAACCAGAGAAGTTAAATTACCTATATCATGTCACACATCGATTCAAGAGCTATATCTGTCTATTTGGAATAGAATTTAAAAGCCCAAATTATCTCGCAGTTTCTCTGGGCCATGCATTTAATCCAGAAATGTCTGTGGGTTTTGCTGTCTGTGCTGTGCCCTAGAATAAAAGAACATGACTAAGAGCCTGTTCCTTTGGCAAGTTTCTATCCAGGAAAGGAGACACAGGGAACGAGAGAGAAGTCATATGACAGGAGACGTGCTGTGGTGCAGGACTGTGGGAAGTGCAGTGGGAGAACAGGACAGAGAGCCCCACCTCTACCTGGGCACTCAGGGAAGGTGCCTCATGGGAAGGACCTTTGAGCTTTGTCTCGGGAAGAAACAAAGATGAAATCAGCAAGGCCCACAGGGCGCAAGACGAACAGCACACTTGCGGAATAGCAGCAAGTCCAGGGGTAGCTACTTGGCAGGACATGTCGGGCAAACAGGGATGGTGGTGCTGGAGAGGTGGGGTGAGTTCTGGCTGTGAAGTGCCTTAAGGACCAAGCTGAGGAGTGTGGCTCTGTCTGCTGCAGGCACTGTGGGGCCCACCAAGGTTCCCATGCAGGGAACAACACTATGGGTTACCAGTTTGGCACTGTATTAGTCCATTTTCATGCTGCTGATAAAGACATACCTGAGACTGGGTAATTTATAGAGAAAAAGAGGTTTAATGGACTCATAGTTCCACGTGGCTGGGGAGGCCTCACAATAATGGTGGAAGGCAAAAGGCACGTCTTACATGGCGGCAGACAAGAGAAATGAGAGCCAAGCAAAGAGGGTTTCCCCTTATAAAACCATAAGATCTCATGAGACTCATTGACTACCATGAGAACAGTATGGGGGAAGCCAACCCCATGATTCAGTTATCTCCCACCAGGTCCCTCCCACAACACGTGGGATTATGGGAGCTACAATTCAAAATGATATTTGGGTGGGTATACAGCAAACCATATCAGGCACCTAGGAGTCAAGGCTTTCTCTGGTGGTCACTTCCTTGAATTATTTGAATATATGTTTTCTCCCTGATTAGACTGTATTCTTTGAAGAAGGAAGCGTGGATTTATTTTTGTGGTCCTGTAGCTTTGCTATGCAAAGTGTGGTCCATAGCTCAGAAGACCAGCATTACCTGAGGACTGGCTAGAAATGCAGAATCCCAGGGTCTTGGATTTCGGATTTTATGATCTCCTGTTGATTTGTATGAACATTAAAATTTGAGAAGTATTATCCTTAAAAACTGCTTCGTGCAGAGTCAAAGCTTGTGAAACGTTTGTTGAATCAGATGTCATTGGAAAAACCTGTTTTAATAACAATTGGATTTATATGTGGATAGCTACTTCCCCAAATAGCTTGATGGATTATACATCTGAAATAAGTTGCTGAATAAGCAGAGACTGTGATTTTTAAGAAATGAAATAAGTTGCACCAGGCAGGTATTTGTTCTATCCTCTAACCCCACAAAGGGGTCTGTGCACTGAGTAAGGTCTTATGGGGACAGTAAAAAGAAGTCAGCTCTGAGTGATAAGCTGAATCTTGAGCTGGTGACAAGCTTAAAGGAAGCAAAGCTGGAGGAGAAGGTGCCCTTAGGGAAGGTGTGGCCTGATGCTTTTATGGTCCTTGTCCTTAGAATGAACACTTGCACATGAGTGTCCTGCGGAGATTTGCGGAAGAGAAGGTTGAGCTGCTGGAGAAGGCCATCGGGCAGTGCTTCGCCTGCATGGAGCAACCTCTACAAGAAGGGGTCAGGACCGCCAGGACTTCTTACCGCTGCATCCTCAGGGCATGCTTGGTGGTGAGTGACCCCTCCAGGAAAAACTCGGATATTCCGGGAGGCCTGCCCAATCCCCAAGCTCCTTTTGCATCATCTCATTCCCTTCAAAAGAGATAAAGAGCTAGAGGGCCAGGCACGGTGGCTCATGCCTGTAATCCCAGCACTTTGGGAGGCCGAGGTGGGCAGATCACAAGGTCAGGAGATCAAGACCATCCTGGCCAACATGGTGAAACCCCATTTCTACTAAAAATACAAAAATTAGCCAGGCGTGGTGGCACGTGCCTGTCATCCCAGCTGCTCGGGAGGCTGAGGCAGAAGAATTGCTTGAACCAGGGAGGCGGAGGTTGCCGTGAGCCGAGATCACACTACTATGCTCCAGCCTGGTGAGAGAGTGAGACTCCATCGCAAAAAAAAAAAAAAAAAAAAGGCTAGAGGAGGGTAGCAGAGAGTGAAAATTGTAAATAACAGTTGTTCATCTGTGTCTCGAAAGGACCAAGGAAGGTGCACAGTTCAGCAAAGACAGAGTGGGAATCTGGGATCTGAGGATCTGAGGATCTTGGTTGGAGTACCAGCTCCACCAAACATCCACCCTGTAGCCCCGGGCAAAGCCCTAGACCCATTTTAAAAATTTCTTGGTTTTCTTCTGTAAAATGAGGATGCTCAATGCTTGCCCTACCTATCCGGTAGCGTTGATGTCTATCAATTAGCTTACACAATAAGGAAACATCTTGTAACCTCTCACTTGGCATTCAAATTGTGGTTTTATTTCTCAATTAGTTGTATAGAGTTTCTGAAGGATGAAAATATAAGTGCGAGGCAGTATTTATCTAAGACTAAGGGGTGAAAAAAGAGGCCCATTGTATTAGTCTGCTTGGGCTGCCATAACAAAATCCTATAGACTGGGTGGCCTGAACCACAGACATTGATTTTCCCATAGTTCTGAAGGCTGGAAGTCCAAGATCAAGGCGTCAGCAGGTTGAGTTCTGAGGCCTCTCTCCTCTTCTGGAGATAGTAGATGGCCACCTTCTTGCTGCGTCCTCACATGGCCTCTTCACTGTGCACGCACACTCCTGGGATCTCTTTCTCTTCTCAGAGGGACACCACACCTGTCAGATCAGGGGCCCACCTTTATGACCCCATTTAACCTTAATTACCTCATTACCAGCTGTGTCTCCCAACACAGTCACCCTGGGGGTTAGGGCTTCGCATATGAACCTCAAGGGTCACACTTTAGTCCGTGGCACCCATTAAGGGGAAGATGTGATGGACAACACTGCTCATGTAACAAAGATGACTTGGTGTCCCCTGTGCTGGGAGAAGGGCATGGATGGTGTGTGGTTGTAGTTTTTAATGGGCCTTGGAAAGTTGGAATGTAAGCAGTAGAAAATGTGTGAAAAGGTGAGTGTGATGGGGTGGTTAGCTTCCTGGAGGCTTTTCC